GGACGGGGTCTGGGGGATTAGGCTGCCGGGGGTCGTTGGAAGGCTAGGGGGTTAGTGTTTCCTGAGAGCTAGCAGTGTTGTGTTCCCTGGAGGAGAAGAAGGAGAGGATTAAAGATCACTGTAACCTGAAGAAAGCATGTGGTAGAGAACAAAGTGCTAGAAAATAGGAGAAAACTAATTGTGAATGACTGAGTGAGCGATTTTTTTGGGTAATGTTGAAATTACCTGTGTACTCCTATCTATTGTTTTTAGCTACTCCAAGACAGAAAAAGGCAATAATAATCACAAAATAACTAACTATATGTAACTTTATTTTTTCAATTGGTACCTACAAATTAAGGCTTTAATGTAATGGGTTTTATTGTAATTTCAGTCGAATTGCGAGTAATTATTTTTGTTGAAAGAGACTATCAGGGTCCCATCTTGAGTTACAAAAAAAAGCCTTAAAATAGTCATAATTTGTTTTATTAATGCCTTTTGTGTTCAACTCAATGTTCAATTTGTTAAATATAACAAAATAATTTCATTTATTTTAATTTTATTAAGACATTTGTATTTTGAAGATTATCCTGAAAGTAGAAATATGGCAATACTGATAACACTTTAACATCTGTTTAATTTTCGCAAGTTATATAACCTTAGCAATATTTAACAGTGTTGTTGCATATTGTATATTCTCCTGAGATCATGCAGCCTTTTGATAAAACAATTGTTTGTTAATCGTACCTGTCAATAGTGTGGATGCCCATAATGAAGGGCTGAACATCAGGGTTGGGGGGGGCAGCAGAACTTGCAGCGGGTCTGAGCGCTGAGCGGGGTCCCATCACTTAACGTGAAACGGTACAACGGGCTGATCGCGGTGCCGTGGGTCATCACTGATGGGGAACACACACACACACACATAGAGACACACACACACAGAGAGACACACACAGAGAGACATAGAGAGACACACACACAGAGAGACACACACACACAGAACACACAGAGAGACACACACACACACAGAGAGACATACAGAGAGACACACACACACAGAGAGACATACAGAGAGACATACAGAGAGACACACACACACACAGAGAGACATACAGAGAGACACACACACACACAGAGAGACATACAGAGAGAGAGACACAGAGACACACACACAGAGACATAACACACACACAGAGAGACACACAACACACACACAGAGAGACACACAACACACACAGAGAGACACACACACACACAGAGAGACACACACACACACAGAGAGACACACACACACACAGAGAGACACACACACACACACACACACACACACACACACACACACACACACACACACACACACACACACCAACACACACACACACCACACACCACACACACACACACACACACACACACACACAACACACACCCACACACACCACACACACACACCACAACACACACACACACACACACACACACACACACACACACACACACACACACACACACACGGTTTAGACTTTGGTCTCATCTGTTGTTTGTTTTCCTGTGTTTACCCTTTATCCTATTAACAACAAGCATTCAGTTGATATGTAAGGTCATGATGTCATGATCACCTTGTAACACAAAAAGAACACAAGGTTTGTACTTAAAACAGCTTACCGTGGTCCTTTTTCCAACACTGCAGAACAACAACAACTAGCATTCAATGCTTCTCCTGAGTCTACCACATTGCTTAACTTAAGTTTAGATTAAGTTAATCCATATATGCTAACATTAGAAAACACAGGATTTTTTCAACTGCAGTCATCTGCTAGCTTTTAGACTTTTAGGAAGACAAAGAATGATTTCAAGATGTTGTTACGCCCCTGGTTGTTAACACTTAAAATAAGCATCTCATTTGGACACATTTGTAGACAAAAAAAACAACGAAACAGACATTTTACATAAGATTACAATCACTGAAGACAATCTATTCAAGACCCTTTAACATACATTAGATCTGAGATTAGACTCGCGTGTTTAAATGTAGGATTAACTGATGCAAACATTTGTGCTTCAGTCTTATCTCATTTCAATTTCAAGCTAAATGTCTGACATTTCATGCTTTCAGCTTCAGATGTGAGATTAATTGCTGCTTTTTTTGTTGACATGATTAGTAAACGAAGTATTTTTTTGGTTTGTTGGTCAGTCAAAAAAAATTTTTAAGGTTCAACTCAAGCTCTAAGAAATAGTTTTAGCATATTGTTTTCCGACGTCTCATAAACCAAACAATCAATCCATCCATTAAGTCATAAATAGTTTCAAGACAGTCTGAACTTCTCTCTTTTTATGACCCCTTATTCTTGTTGCATTTAGAATATTCACTGTGTTTTCCACTAGATACATCTGCATATAAATCACACTATCTCTAAAGGTTTTGCAGATATGAACTATCTTGCTCAACACTTCCCCTGCAGGTATGCAAAGTTATTCAAATGTAGTATTTTAAATCGATCTGTGATAATGGTATAGGAGTAGTTTGCTGAGCTCTGGTGAAGCTGTCAGTGTGTATCAATGATTTCTGGGAGTGCAGCTGGACGATCGATGGCTGCTGCTCACCCTCATGCAGCAGCTTCTTGGCGTGGGAGGACTCTTTGCCCTGCGGCTGAAAGAAAGCGTAGATGCACTTCCTGACCAGATCCTCCCAGCCCGGCCGGCCCGTCGCTCGCAAAGCACTGGTTTCTATGGAGATGATCTTCCCTAAAGGAGAGCAACACACACACACACACTCGGTCAGTCTACACACTTTTCAACATTTAAGATACCCTTCACCCATTCAGGGTCAACACTGTGACCTGTTTGAAAAAGTGATTTAGAGTATGAACTTTGTTAAAAGACTGGAAAAGGAACGAGGTTTTTTTTTTTTATACAATATTGTGAGAAAAAACACGTGACAGGAAAGACGAGATGAGTTATCATAGACAGATTATTTTCCAAAGAAGCAGTTTCATTGCTGTGATGCGCCTTTTTCGGCACTACAGTGGCAGCACATAATAAGGACACGCTTACTTAAAGTTAACAATGACAAAGACATGCTTTGGAGAAAGAAATTAGGTGATATTTTGGCTAGAACAAAACTAGATACTGGAAATAGTAACGGGTTCCTTGTCTCTTTTTTTTTATTATTGAATTAACTAAATGTTGACTTAAAAAACCAAAGGAGGTTGGAGCTAAGAAGGACATTTGACACAGGACTACAAGAACATTTTAATAAAAGCTGACAAAATAAACACCAATTAGAACATTTCCTGACTATATTAAGTGTGTGTGTGTGTGTGTGTGTGTGTGTGTGTGTGTGTGTGTGTGTGTGTGTGTGTGTGTGTGTGTGTGTGTGTGTGTGTGTGTGTGTGTGTGTGTGTGTGTGTGTGTGTGTGTGTGTGTGTGTGTGTGTGTGTTACCTGTGGGGTCCTGCTTGGTGATGAAGGACTCAGTGCTGAAAGGCTGGGTGCGAGGAATCCGGCAGGCAATACATATGAGGCAGCTCTGCAGGTCTGAGGGAAGAGAGGACACAAGTGATGAGAGAGAGTGTCTGTGTGTGTGTGTGTGTGTGTGTGTGTGTGTGTGTGTGTGTGTGTGTGTGTGTGTCTTAAATAACATTTGTAATCCATTCTTTTGTATTTATTTATATAGAAACTGATACGACCATGTATAAATCCTCCACATTGATTTGCTTTTAAAGCTGTATAATATATTGACTGTGTGTGTGTGTGTGTGTATGTGTGTGTGTGTGTGCATGTGTGTGTGTGTGTGTGTGTACCCTCTCCCTCCTCCTGCATGCTCCGTGGTTGGGACACGGTGAAGCACTGCATGATCTCGTACTGCTGCCGAGCCTCTGTGTTCTCTGCATCCAGCTCGTCAGGCGGCCTCTTCAGCATGCGACAGTTGAAGGTGTGGCTGTTCCTCCGGGCAGAATCCTGCGGCCACGGCACACCGTTCACTGCACACACAAACTTTTAATACGTTTTAAGACCCCGCGGACACCCTGCCTACTTCCCTAAGATTAACATTATCTAAGGGAAGAAAGTCATTGTGTCACACATATGCTGCATCTCTGATCTGACATTTATTCCCTCTTTTAGCACAATGTGCAGCTTTGAGAAGCTGTGCTAATTTAAGATTTCCATGGTTTGTCACACAGCCTTTCTTTGTTGCTATTCAAAAGTAAACCAAGTTAATTATCTGTATTAAAGACTGTATTCTGAGTTAGCTGCCAGAACTCATCTCCTTAATGGGTTTTATTGGCGTGGAAACTGTCACATTTGAAGATACTGAAAATGCAATTACAGAATTTTCTTTTAAACATTAACAAGGGAGGCTGTGGCTCAGTGCGTAATGTGCTGGATAGTGTGCTGGACTTCGAATCAGGGGATAGCAGGTTTGAGTCCCACTGCAGTCAGCATGTCGTTGTGTCCCTGGGCAAGACACTTCACCTCAAATTGCTCCTGTGGGGATTGCCCACAGTACTGAATGTATGTAAGTCGCTTTGGATAAAAGCGTCTAACAAATGACATGTAATGTAACAACTACTGGCATCTTACACCTTGAATATAAAAGCAGTGGTGTCCAAACTACGGTCCGGGGGCCAAATGCGGCCGACGGACCATTTTGAATCGGCCCTCAGCAAATTCAAAAAGTATAATGTGAAATGTGAAAATGAAACTTGTGCTTGTCTTATATTGTACTTCTTAAATACATATGTAAAAAGATATCACACAGTAGTATTCATGTGTTAATAAGACCACTTTTCAAATAAATTCTGTCAATTCAAGTTGGAAACATTTTCTAACATATCTTAGTTGATAAGAAAAAAGCCCAATAACTTAATTACATAACAAGCTTGAAATACACCCTTCCTATTTCCTCTTATTATAATCAATCTGAGGCTTCTGTTTTAAGGGATGAGCTGCCAACAAAATAAAGTAAACCCTATGGAGATCTGTGATATAGGCTGTTTTCAAGTATCAAGCATAATTTACCTACATTTGATTAATTTAGCTAACTTATAACTGAACGTATGAGGCAATATACCTCAAGTGAGCGGCCCAGCCCTTTGTATATTTTTCTGTATGTGGCTCTTGGTGAAAAAGGTTTGGACACCCCTGATATAAAAGCATTAGCGAGCAGACCCAGCTCACTCACCCAGGCTTTTGGGCAGCAGATTGCGAACAAATTCATTGTGGTCTCCCACGTGGAGGATGCTGTAGACGCTGGAGGTCATCAGCTCCCCCTGCGCGTATCCGAGGTAGCTCGTCACGTTCTCCGACACAAAGACGATGCGGCCCTCCCGGTTTACGACGAAGAAAAACCCATCGAGGGCCTGAATGAGGAGACAGGAAACTGTGGTGTCAAATGATCATATAATCATTTAAAACATATAGTCTTATACTCTGATTGCCTTTTACACTGTTACATTGTATTTGTAGTCTTGTATGTGTTTAACAGAGACATATGTTAAGGATTTACATTGCAGGAGGGCAAAAGGAAGTAAAAGGGGGATTTGCAAATGGTTAAGGACGAGGGGGTTTAATGGTTTAATGGTGGGGATGTTTAGATGATGCCTAAGGGAATTTAAGGGTGGGACCAGGTGGATTTTCTCGACTATAGAGTGTGACTGTAAACTGTGTTCTGGGTGTTGAACGTCTCTATCCTCTGAGGATGAAGTAGCTCTGTTCCTACATTTGAGATCAATTTAACTTGTATATAGAGTGCCACAGTGACGCGTCCTAAAACCCGGAAGTAAACTCCTTCCGGTTCCTTAGACAAAAACGCAATGCAATCTCTCCATAGGATTTTGGAAAATAGCTGGAAATAAGGTCTGTGGTTGAGACACATTTAGGAGACGGATCACGTTTTGTTCAGCCGGATAATCTCCACATGTCTACCCTACTTTTATAATTTTCTAATCATAAATCGAGTCGCCAGAAGCAAAATGCTAACGTTATGCTATAAACGAACTACAGCAGGGTCGCTGCTTCAACGTCACGCCAACTTAAAGGGGACCTATCATGCAAAATGCACTTTTGTACGTCTTTTATACATGAATATGTGTCCCCGGTGTTCCAGGGAACTCACCAAGTGTCAGAAAACACAACCCTCTCTATTTTCCTCCATACCCAAATCTCTAAAAAAGGGGCTGCAACGGATCTGATAAAAACTGATCCAGATTTGAACACTGTCCTGACGTCAGGACTGTGGCGCTACGGCTATTGGGCCAACTCCACCAATCAGGAGGAGACAGCCACGGCCATTGCCGTTAGAAAGCGCTGGAGACGCTTGTAGTACATATGCCAGGCCTGTAGGTGGTGCTGTTCTCACAGAATCAGCCCTTGCTAAAACAGATCTAAAAAATGTCAAATTGAGCGAAATGAGGCATGGCTAAAATGCATGATCTGTTTGGTATTTTGAAAAAAAAAAAAGTATAAATATGCCTTATATAGGTATGGTCCTACACTATATTATTCAAATATAGCATGATAGGTCCACTTTAAGATCCATATTCAAAACTACAGATTCTAAATGGTACAAGTTGAAGCGTTTGTTTGAACAGTTAGCAGGAGGCAGGTACTTGCTTTCAAGCAGAACAGGGCAAACAAACTTAGCGGGAGTGTTTACGTGTTCGGTGTAATGACGTACAACGGCCTCCACAACTTCTGTAGTCCTATTCAGCCACTTGTTAACAACCATCGTTTTTCAGACACGTAAACTCTTCAGAAATCACCAGTGGGGTCACTGCTGATGTGTTTAATGTCGTAGAACAAAACGTGATCCGTCTCTTAAATGTGTCTCAACCACAGACCTTATTTCCAGCTCTTTTCCTAAACCCTATGGAGAAATTGCATTGCTTTTTGGCGAAGGAACCGGAAGTGGTAAAATGCTAAGTCACTTCCGGGTTTTAGGACGCGTCACTGTGGCACTCCATTGACTTTCTTTATTACTTTATTCAATATAACAAAAGACAAACTTTGTCCATGATTCATTTATCAGTTTCTCTTAAGAATTTCCTCCAGAAACCAGATTGTGTGAGTCGGAAATAAAACTCCCAGCAGTGGTGGAGGAGGAGGAAGAAATGATTGTGTACGTGATGTTCACCTCTAGCAGCATGGGCCCCAGGGCCTCTTTCTCCACCAGACCCTGGCTACTGGAGGAGATGTCGCTCTTCTGCACCTCATCATCTGGAGACAGAAGGGCTGCTTTCTCTGTCAGGGGGAAGGAAACACACGTTAGGAAACTGAATACACAGACATGGAAACTTCCTGTAATATCACTACTTACTTACCCCCCCCCCCCGAAAAAAGCGATTTATAACATGTCGGAGAGTTTAGCAAGTTTAGGAAACAAAATATAAGTCGATGAGAAGCTGAGGTCGGCTTTAACTGACACGCTATCAAAATAAGAAAATTCCTGAGATCCAATATGTTGAACAAATCTTAATTTATGCCTATAATTATGATCAAACTTATCATCACAGCTACAAAAAGTGTCAGTCAACGAAAACAGCAATCTGTTTCGATGATTAGAATTAGAATTGGGAGGGATGAACCCCTCTGTAATGGTCACACAGCACACACAGTGAAATGTGTTCTCTGCTTTTAACCCATCCTAGTACAAGGAGTCTAGTACTAGGAGCAGTGGGCAGCTATTGCACAGCGCCCAGGGAACTTGGTGAACTGGGACCTCTCCAAGTAGCAGTCCACACTCCATATTTTAGGTCTGGTCGGGGACTTGAACCGGCGACCCTACAGCTCCCAGTTCAAACACCTACTGACTGAGCCACTGCCGGATAATATTACATCACAATACCAATTTTATTTCAATACAATTCACCAGTTTCTCAAAAAGTGTGTGAATAGGGCTCATGGACTTGTGAGCAATCAATAATTAAACCTCACATTAGGCGTAATGTTTATTTATTAAAAAAACAGTGAAATTCTCTGAGAATCAATAAGGAGGTGTTTTATATTTTGGCAATTAAAAAATTCTAAATTTTTGAATAGAGATATACTTTCAAAACATGAATTTTAGAAAACCAGATGTGAGATTTGAATCAGATATTTGTCTCTAGTAGAGGTGAGAGGGGTTTACTCGTAAAACACCTTCTCTTAAATATATATTTTCCTATTTAAATGAATATAACATCATAATATACACTTTTATTACAAAGTTGTGTGTGTGTGCGCACAATGTACAAGCACACTAGAGTGTTACCAGAATGGTTTGGTTTTACCAATCATGTCTTTGCTAACATCCCAAATACACCTGATTTTGTTGACACCAACCACAGGGAGGTGCTAATATTAGAAGTAGGCAGTGCCTTTGACCTGTACATGGACCAGACTTTCCAGGACAAGTATATCAAATACCAACCACTGCTCGATGTGATAACCAGCTTTGGGTACAAGTGTAGATATAGCATACTCATATTCGGAAGTCTTGGCCATGTATATAAATGCACCATGATTGGTCTGAGAATTGCTGGAATGTCAAAGAGAAAAGCCAAACAAATTGCCAAATATTGCTCTGTTTCAGCTATTATTGGCAGCTTAGCCGTGTGGAGAAGGAGATGCTCTGTGTTCCCCTAAGTGTTCTGTGCTGCTTAGCCCAGATATATTTGATTCCCTGTCTTATGTAATATAATTTGTGGAACCAAATAAAGTATTCAAATGTGTGTCCTCACCCAGCGCACGCCGCTTCATCAGCTGGATTTGGTCCACGGTGCTCTTGAGGATGTGGCACTTGTCGGGCTTGGCGCTGAGGCTGGCAATGTCGCTCATGTTGGACGACAGCAGCTCCGCCAGCTCCTCGATGTAGCGACACTCCAACTCCCGCCTCCGCTTCTCCACGCTGCGGAGATAACACACACACACACACACACACACACATACAGAGGTGAGCTTCACACACGCAATGAGTTGCATAGTGACATCAATATATGTAACACTATTGGCTAGCGCTCCAACACATTGTGCTTGATATACTAAGAGGCTAATCTCTAAGTGGTTGACTAATCACAACAGAGCCAGCCAGCTAACCAATCAGAGCAGACTTGACTCTGGTTTCAGACAGAGGGTGAAAAGAGGTGCTGCAGCACAGGCAGTATGAGAAAAATAAAGAGCTTTTTGAACATTAAAGCATGGAGACATGTAGAGACACTACATACAGATATACACCTGAACATCAGCAGGAGAGGACTCTTTAAAGTAGAGACACTACATACTGATATACACCTGAACATCAGCAGGAGAGGACTCTTTAAAGTAGAGACACTACATACAGATATACACCTGAACATCAGCAGGAGAGGACTCTTTAAAGTAGAGACACTACATACTGATATACACCTGAACATCAGCAGGAGAGGACTCTTTAAAGTAGAGACACTACATATAGATATACACCTGAACATCAGCAGGAGAGGACTCTTTAAAGTAGAGACACTACATACTGATATACACCTGAACATCAGCAGGAGAGGACTCTTTAAAGTAGAGACACTACATACTGATATACACCTGAACATCAGCAGGAGAGGACTCTTTAAAGTAGAGACACTAAATACTGATATACACCTGAACATCAGCAGGAGAGGACTCTTTAAAGTAGAGACACTACATACTGATATACACCTGAACATCAGCAGCAGAGGACTCTTTAAAGTAGAGACACTACATACTGATATACACCTGAACATCAGCAGGAGAGGACTCTTTAAAGTAGAGACACTACATACTGATATACACCTGAACATCAGCAGGAGAGGACTCTTTAAAGTAGAGACACTACATACTGATATACACCTGAACATCAGCAGGAGAGCACTCTTTAAAGTAGAGACACTACATACTGATATACACCTGAACATCAGCAGGAGAGGACTCTTTAAAGTAGAGACACTACATACTGATATACACCTGAACATCAGCAGGAGAGGACTCTTTAAAGTAGAGACACTACATACTGATAGGAAGCTGAAAATGAGCAGAATAGGGCCCCTTTAACGTTCAGTTCTTTAACGTCAACTAAAAATAAATCAGAGATTAAACATTTGAACATCTGATCACAACAGTTTGGTGATTTAAACTACCTGTTGTTTGAAAAAAGTAGCAGAGTTGGAAACTTTAACATTACAATGTGCTGAAACAGTGCGGTGGTTTTTCACCCAGCTGCCTGTAATGTGTTTCTGAAATATGTAAACAAGAGACAGAACATAAAGAAATCTGCAGTTGATTTTAGTCAGACTCCTTCTTCAGTTTGCTTGCACTTTGAAACTGACGAGTTACAGTAAGGTATGTGGTAAACATGAGAAACAGGAATGTGTGTATGGGAGTGTGTGTGTGCAACGACAACAGCAAAAGTAGGTCAGTGCATTGGCCGGCCAGAACACACAGGCGTGTGAATGCGCAGGGCAGAAGCTGATCTACTTGGCAATTAATAAGGCTTTTTTTCATTTAGTCCTGGTGCAAGAAATCCCCATTTCACATCAAAGCAGGAAGGAGAAAAGTCCAACAACCAATCGAGCGGGAGCTGATACTCTGATACTTGTTGTTTTGCAGATTATGCCTGGTTATGTAACGCTGGTAATATAATGCTCCACACAGAACAGAAACACATGTCGGTACCTTTCCCCCGACGTGTCGCATGGCGAGCCCTTCCTCTTGCGTGACTCTGACGCGGCAGGGTCCAGGGGGTTTTCCCCGACTGCACTCATTTTCAGCTTTAACTGACCTGTAGAGGAGGAACACATGGAAAAGAGAGGAAAGGTCAATAACAGAAGGTGTGCACCATGGAAAACACACTTTCTTTAACGTTATCAGGACAGGTAGTAGTGTAGCTTTTACTAAAACCTGCAAACACAAGTGGCTACTCTAGCCAACAAACTCCAGTAATATAAAGTTATTAATATCTGGATATCTTGGTTTGCACACACAATCAGCTTTTACTGACGTACATACAATTATAATATTTGTAATACATTTTAGGAACACATGGCAAAGAGAGGAAAGGTCAATAACAGAAAGTGTGCACCGTAAACAACACACTTTCTTTAATGTTAGCAGGACAGGTAGTAGTGTAAAACCTGCAAACACAAGTGGCTACTCTAGCCAACAAACTCCAGTAATAGATAGTTATTATTATTTGGATACCTTAAATGATAGGGTTTGGTTTACACAAACAATTATGCAACAGCTTTCACTGACATACATACAATTATAATACATTTTATTGTCCGGCACCATGCCTGTGGTGTGGATGACCAAATTCACACATCAAAAAGGCGTGATAAACTGTTGATTCCATGGAAAACTATATATTTTTTAAATGTGAACATAGATGAACAAAGACACTTTAGTATTGTATAACTGCAGCTACAAAGAAGCATTGACATAACTAAGAAAAAAAGGACAATTAGTCATGTAACATTTTATGAAAATGTGTGGTTTTTTAGGCTTTTAGTGGCTGTTTAAATAACTACAACAAATGTTTTGGGGAGAAGTACACTAATAACATAATCATTCCTGCAGTACTCATAGACAGTTTGCATTTATACTCTTTTGTGTACAATTTATGATCTATATATTTGTAAAATACATCAAGTTAGTGCATCACTACTCCCTAAGTTAGCAGAAAAAACATTGTTAAAGAAAGTCAGCATTAAAATGAATATGACATGTTTAATAAATCACAAGTAAAGTGGATTTTGTATTCATGTCAAACCACAGTATTTACTTAACATTACAATAATTTAAATGTATTTATATATGCATTACATTTAAATTAAGTTTGGTATTTGGTAGGGATGCTCCGATCAGGGTTTTTGGGGCCGATCACCAGAATCAGAATCGGCCGATACCAATCGCCGATCCGATCACATGGTGGGTGGGGGCTACGGGGATCTTCCATTTAAAGTGTTGTTTTGTGAATTGAGTAGCAGAGTTTCCGTTAGCCGGTAATTACTGGACTATGACCGGTAATATATGCTGATGTTTAAAACTCAGTTAATGGGGCTCTTTTTTATATTGCTTCAGTTATAATCGTAACGGATCGAAAAGTTCAAATTAAACAACATCATTATTAGATTCAAACAAACTACTTATAGTAGGCTAGATGAAGTACATTATTCAAAAGTTTACATTAACTTTGGATAATAACAACGGAGAAATAAACGGAGCCTCTCTCCCTCTCTCTCTCTCTCTCTCCTTCTCTCCCTCTCTCCCTCTCTCTCTCCTTCTCTCCCTCTCTCCCTCCTCTGACAGCCCGTCAGTATCTCATGCAGCTCACTGATCCAGTAATGAGTGACCCGACAGTGAAGAATAAATATATTTATAACTAGTTTAGCTTGTTCCAGATGTAGATAAAATAGCTAAGTGTGTTAGTTCTAACTTGAGGTGTGTGTTTTGCTCACCGGTCCGTCACAGGCAGCGGGCGGAGCTGCGACTGTGATCCGGTAGAGCTGCGTGTCTCCCTCAGCTGATCATGATCTCTCTCTCTTTCTGCTTCACACACGTTGCATACCGCTATTTTATTGTCTTTTTAGGACACCTTAAAAAACTGCCAGACTGGTGAAGCCATCTTGGCGAGCTTGTTTTCCCGCGCACAGAGAAAAGTGTCATGTATTTTGCATAATCTGATCGGCTCTCCTGATCGGCCTTTATAGAGAGCACCGATCGAACTATTAAGAGTGAATATCGGCCGATAATGATCGGCGGCCGATCGATCGGAGCATCCCTAGTATTTGGATGCACAGTCTGCAGCTCAGCAACAACCCTTCTGTTGGTGCTGAATTCACCCTAGAGCTTTATTGAAGTGTGTGGATTGTAGAATTGTATTAAAGCCTCCCTAATATTTTGTATCTTTCCTCCAAATGGACCCGTGCCGGTTATTTATCTACAAAGACAGCCTGCACCTTTCCTCTCTGTCACTCTCACTGCAATGGGAGGAAAACCATGGAAACAGGAAATGCTGCAACATTTGATGAAGCACACCAGCGATTCATTAAGCCCCAATATTGAAATAAAAACCCTTTACTGTAAATGGCATCACAAATTGAATTTAGGAGCATCTTATTAAGCCAGATGCACACGGAAATCAGCGAAAAGCAACAAAGGATAACAATGTCTGTCATGTTTTGCAAACTGTAAAGGCTGACAGGTGTCATAACTAACCTGTTTTTGACTAAATTAAATTACTAAATGAATTTTAGGTAGATTAATAACCTGAAAGATGTATTCTGTTGAACTGTACACATCAGGATGGTCTCGAGTCTCTTAAAGGGGACCTATTATGCAAAATCCACTTCTTCATGTCTCTTCTACATCAACATGTGTCCCCTCTTCTTCATGTCTCTTCTACATCAACATGTGTCCCCTCTTCTTCATGTCTCTTCTACATCAACATGTGTCCCCTCTTCTTCATGTCTCTTCTACATCAACATGTGTCCCCTCTTCTCCATGTCTCTTCTACATCAACATGTGTCCCCTCTTCTTCATGTCTCTTCTTCATCAACATGTGTCCCCTCTTCTTCATGTCTCTTCTACATCAACATGTGTCCCCTCTTCTTCATGTCTCTTCTACATCAACATGTGTCCCCTCTTCTTCATGTCTCTTCTACATCAACATGTGTCCCCTCTTCTTCATGTCTCTTCTACATCAACATGTGTCCCCTCTTCTTCATGTCTCTTCTACATCAACATGTGTCCCCTCTTCTTCATGTCTCTTCTTCATCAACATGTGTCCCCTCTTCTTCATGTCTCTTCTACATCAACATGTGTCCCCTCTTCTCCATGTCTCTTCTACATCAACATGTGTCCCCTCTTCTTCATGTCTCTTCTACATCAACATGTGTCCCCTCTTCTTCATGTCTCTTCTACATCAACATGTGTCCCCTCTTCTTCATGTCTCTTCTACATCAACACGTGTCCCCTCTTCTTCATGTCTCTTCTACATCAACATGTGTCCCCTCTGTGGAAAGAGACTCTGAAAGTTTCAGGAACAAAGATTCTCTCTCTTTTTGTCCTGATCCATTTCTATAAAAACCTGTCTGAAAATGAGCTGATCAGATTTTGGCCACTTTATGATGTCATAACTATGTTTTGGCTTGTGTAACCATTAGCCAATCACCAACCAAGGTAACCCCCCCCCCCCCACCTTATCACCTGAATCTCCTCCTAGAGCACCATTGAGTTCTTTGTAACCAAGTCTCTCTCAGAGGGGCGTGGGGAGGGGCTCCTTATTTTCATCTAAAGTAACAGACAGAGAATCAGCACTTTTGAAACAGGGCTGAAACAGAGGGGATTATGGGATGCTGCAATGATCTGTTTGGTGTTTCAGCCAATCAGAGACAGGTTCTGTATATATCTGAGACCTATAATATATTGATGAAAAACAGTATAATAGGGGACCTTTAATATTTAAATGCTTTGGTAACTTAATCTGTAAATCAATGACATGCAAACAAACTAGAGCCACACGAAGCGTTTTATATCCACTGATAATAAAAAAAAGCACAAAAACAGGCAGTCATTGTGGGCGTGTTGGGCCGCTGCTCACAGGACGCTAATCCTTCCTGACGAGCCGTGTTTACATTTCACCTCAAATAACCCCCTCTCTCCTCCTCCGCCCTCCTTATGCAGCTAACTCGCAGCTCAGGGAGAAATCAGAGCCCTGCTACAAACCAATGGAAACACAAATTAGCCTGGTGTCTGTGTGCTGAGTTCAGCTTGTGCTAGAGTTAGCAGCTGAAACTGTGAGTACGTCAAATTATTACCGAGAAATCAGATGCATCAGAACAAGCTATTAGTGAGAGCCATTTTCATTTAGTTATTATGGTCTGAATGTTAGGCTTAATAATAACGTACGGATTTAGATTCAAACGACCCAACTTAATTAATCAGGTATTTTTGTGAGTCACACTATGGTTTCAAATGTATTAATTTAAGGCTCACTTATTTGTTATGAAATGTGCGTCAGTATCACGTGCATGGCTAAATGCCTATATATGGTAGGTTAATAGGACACAGCTGATGGTGGTGAGACGGGGAAGCGGAAAAGTATTTTGACCGTGTTCTTTTTGTGACTTGTATTTACTATGAAGCGAAGAAATGTGTCCTCCTGTTTCTATGCCGCCTGGACCAATGAATAAAGCTCATCTGATTCAACAACGATCTCCGCTAAATTTGTTTGGAAACAAAGAGAGGCGCGTCAAAAACCCACAACCCCGACAGAGGTGGCTATTAAATGTAGACTAGGATTAAAACGCCACCACACTATTAGTCGACTTATTAGTACATTATTTATGCTATGTTCAAGGGAAATGACTTATTTCCCTGAAATGTGTGAGCATATGATTCAAGATTCAAAGGCTTTATTGTTATAAGCACAATAGCTACAGTGTAGTTGTTGGCAATGAAAATCTGAAATCTCAGGCTCCTCTAACAATGCAGCATACAATAAGATAAGATGGAGGGTATTTAATTCCACTTTACATTGTTAACTTACTCGGGGTTCCTGCAGGTTTCACCAACTCAAATTTAAGACTTTTAAGATCACTTTGAATAGAATTTAAGACCTATTTCACGGCAAGAAAGTATGAAGGAAAATTGCTATGAAAGAAGAAATACGTCCCATAATGACTTAGAAAGTAAATGTATTCATGTTCAACATAAGAACGATGACTGAACATAAGAATAACACAGAACTGTGTAAGCGTGTGTGTGTCTCTGTGTATG